CCTTATGAGAAATCAAAGTCTTTGGGTTCTGGGGGGAGTATGGTCGCAAGGCTGAAACTTAAAGGAATTGACGGAAGGGCACCACCAGGAGTGGAGCCTGCGGCTTAATTTGACTCAACACGGGGAAACTTACCAGGTCCAGACATAGTAAGGATTGACAGATTGAGAGCTCTTTCAAGGATAAAATGTAAATTATTAAAATCCAAGAGTCATTACAAAGTACAATCACAAAGTAAACATACAATGCACCAGGGCATACCCCTATAAAATCAAAGACAACTCGTGTCAAGCTCAAGGAATAAGCATTAACTAGCACAATACAATAGGAAACGTAGATGGTTCACCCTTCCGGTCTCCCATAGTGTTTTGTGTTGAAAGCGGCTAGTTCATTATGCACATTATGGTTGTCCGCAATCTTTTTGTTTTCACCATCAAGAATCTCCTTTTTTTCCCTCCAAAGCCGCATGAAATCAGGGCTATCAGATTTGGGGGGCTTCAATGCCTTGAACGGCAGTTTCCATGCCTTGGGTACATCTTTGGGCGTTGCATTGCCTTCCTTACCAGCGTTTGACAGCACTGGTGTGTCCCCCTGTCCAGCCGTAGGTGCAGCAGTTTTAGCCACTGGAATGGCAGCGGCAATATCCTTTGGCGTCGTGGAGGAGGGACCGGAGTCAAGACCGTGGTTGATGTCCTCAAGGCCAGCTGGTTGTTTGGCCTTCCCCCTGCGTTGATCCCCCTTCTTGCTGGTGGTTTGGTCTTTATTCAACCTATCCACAGCTTTCAAAGATGTTCGGGGTTCGGCACAAGGTAGCTCAACATTCGCAGCTTTGCTTGGTGTTTCACCGTTTTTCTTCTTCTTCCGGTTTGCTTCAGGGACCAGGATATTACCCTCTGCCACGGGCTTGGCAGTAGGTCCTGGGCAGTTCCCCTCAGCGCCACTCTCATTCAGCACACTAGGCACGGCAGCAGGTTTGGGAGGCAGGGACTGGGATGCTGTTTTGGGCCTGGCAGCAACGCTGGCAGTGGCCTCTGTGCCTGCCACAGCAGTGTTTCCAGCCTGGTTTCTCCTTGTTTTGTTGGAGGTTTGACCACTAGAGGTAGTGGGATTATCACCCTCAACAACGTGCTTACCTTTCCCCATCGTGCGCTTGGACGTTTTGCCAACAAAATCCCCGTTTTTTCTGAGACGAAGGGCCCGGAGAACCCTACAATCTAGAAGGTTGTGCCCAAATTTCTTGCAATGAAAACAATATTTTGGGAGGCCCTCATACACAACCTTCTGGATGTAAGTGCCCCCATCTGGTAGGCTAACCTCAAAGGAGGTAGGTAGCTCTTTAGACATGTCCACCTGGATCAACATCCTGCAGAAACTAATCCTCCCCCGTCTCTTTGTACCTTGGTCAGTCCGCTTGGGGGTTCCCACTCTCGACCCCAAACATTGAAGTGCAATTTTATTCCAACATCGCAATGGGACGTTAACAAACTTAACCCACACATCAACCGTCATGAAGGCATCAAAGTTGAAGCGAAAGTCCTCCGGAAGAATGCGAAGTAATAGAGTCTTACCAAAGAGCTGGTAAGGCCCATTTTAGAGAACAATCCTTCGGTCTTCATCACTAAGGAACTGGAAAAGGACCTAGCCCCGTTCGTGAGGGAGGAGCTTACATTGTACGCCCCATGAGGTAATGAGATCCTCTATGGCTTTGATGCCCGGGAACCGGCCCGTGAAGCAGCCCACTAAGCAATGCCCCCAGTCTTCCTCAAGAGAAGGATATCCCTCAATCGGGATGATGACCTTCTCCCCAACCTCAACTTTTTCCAAAGGAATACCTTCGTCAGGATCTCGGTTAGCCGAAGTGGATGATGAAGTAGGCATGGGGCTGTTGGTTTTACTTTCAAGTCCAAAAGCCGTTGCAAAATCCTGTTTTCCCCCAATAGGCGTAGGTGACAAAGCGTTTTCCTCACCGGAGAAGGTGTCGATGTTGGGGACTTGTCGTGCGGTCCAAAACAAATTAAAAATTTATAAAATATCCTTAACTAACCCCCAAGATATAATCAAATAAAAACTATAGCTAGGGCAAGTAAGGGTCGATCCCACGGAGAAATGTTGTACTTTTTAAAACCAATTTAGTATACAAACACGTTGTCACGAAATAAAATAAAAAAAACAAACTACTACACAAATGATAATACTTATAAAACTTTTAATTAAATAAATATATAAACTTATAAATATAACTTATATAAACAAAGAACTTATAATATAACTTA